ACTGGCCCCGCTCCATCTCTGGCTCAGCTCACGGAGCACGAACACAGGTCTGTTTACAACCTGGACGTGCTGTCATGAGCCTGCGGCCGCGGCCAGGGCCGGGACAAAGATCTGTGTCACCGTAGCTTCACGGCTTGTGTCAGAACCACGTTGACGTTCATTGTTCCACAAAAGCAGGTTAAACGTTTCTCTGACAACATCAAGGATCTGTGTTTTAACCGCTGCTGACGCTGTACAGTCAGGGTTTGCCTCGAAACCGACGTGACTCTGATGCAGGATTAAAGAAAAGCAGACAGAAGCGGTTTTATTTCAAGGCCTCGTCTTGGTTCTTACCCTTCAAAGCAGAGAGTCTTAGCAGAAAATATCAACAGTTGTGTGATGACAAAGGCTTCTGCACGACAGCATCAGGACACTGTGATCATTTACTTCTGAGACCTGTTGGATTTCTTTGTTCATTTTTGATTCAACTGGGGTTTTAATTTTTTTATCACGTTTATTCTTTGACGGTTTTAAGGAGGTTTTCTCTTCATGGTCATGTGAACGGCCTGGCGGTGGAGCAGTGTATGGTTGGAGGGGTGGGAGGGGGTACCTGCTAATCACATGATGAGAACCCAGCCTGGTCTCCAAGGTGTCAGTTGGTCAAAATTTCAAATATTTGTCTTAACTAATATTCCAGAAAAATCCCAAACATTCTTCCACCCAAATGTTGCGTTCATGCTGCTAATGCCTCTGTGCCTGCATGACAGAAGGGCCGTATTTGCTCACATTAGCACTTTGCTGTAGCTCATAGGTTTGAAAGATGTGGTTCAGTGAGTTCGCCTTACAGCAAGCAGGTCACAGGCTCGATACCCAGTGTTAGTTCACATACTGTAAACTGTTAATTTGTTGTTTTTTTATCATTGTTTAAAATGAGTTCTGTCTGTTTCACAGATCAGCAACTGCAACTGCACTGCAGGTGTCACTGCGTCGTGTTACCACCAAAAAGGGACCGTGTCACTGCAACAAAACAAGCGCAAGGCGCCGACTGACTCAGCGTAAAGGTGAGCCAGACTTTGATTCTACTGAGGTTGTATTATTTTATAGCAGTGCTTATTGGACAGTAGGTTCATGTTTTTCATCAAACTAGTGTGACACAAAAAAAGAAGGTTGGGAAAATATCTGTAGCTGATCAGAGGCTTGTGTTCAATGTTGCTGTTAGCAAGCAAGTAGGAACAGTCTAGAAGTAGACGTTAACGTTTTTTAAGAGCATTGAAAAAAAGACCCAGGATCTTTGGTGAACATGAACAGAGAGGAAACACAAATGTGTGGAAATATTCTGAAGCTCTTCCAGAGCCGCCCCGTGTTGACTGAGTAGTCATGTTCTCCTGAGCAGCAATGAGATACTGTGGGTGCATTATTGATGTCAGGGGTTCAAGGTAAACAGGAGAAGCAGCAGCTCTAAATGGTCAACATTTAGGCAACAAGCAAACAGCTGGTAGATGTAACTGCAGAGGAAAAATGTCCGACGTCCAAAAGAGACTTCAAATCTACACATGCATAAACATCACATTTCTTTTCTCGACCTTCACTCTCTTCTCTGGCACCCTCCAGGGAAGGCGTGCCTCAGTTTGAAACCCGTCATCACACAGTATTTTGTGTCGTATCAATATAAAATGAATGATTGAGACTTTGTCAGGAAAATATGTGATTTTTAAAAAATCCCCTACATTTTAAAGGTTGCCTTTGGAACATGTGAGTTCTTTAACTCTGCAACTTCAGGCTTCAGTTAGCCTCTCCAGTTAGCCTCATCAGTTAGCCTCATCCATGTTTTATGGACAAAATCTATGGACAAAATGTGAAACTCCACATTGCTGCTGGTGGCCGCGTCTGCATCTCCTTCAAATTAAAATAAAACCAAAAGAACCATTTCCCTTCCGAGACCGCGGTTTAGAAAATAACAATACAATATAGTTGTGGCATAAAGTGTGTTGAAATCCCATCAACCTGTGCAGCAAGGAAATACCACCGTGTCTGTCTGAGTGACAACAAACTGACTGGAGTCAACGATGCATTACATGGAAGCTCAGATTCTGCATTTGTTGTTTTATTTTGACAACAAAACCCACACAAATCTGCTCATCCCTGCACCGACTCTGCTGCTTCTCTGATGGTCGACATCAGCAGTGGGACATTCAGCCACTGACTGTCCCTCGGTCCCCACATTAACACCACCACCACCGAGCAGCAGCAGCTCCGGCTTCATCAGCATCAGCATCAGCATCAGCAGTACTGGTGAAAAATGCAGGATAAACAGGTGACCAACCTGAATGGTGCACGTATACTCGGTGTCGTCCAGCAGTCTGACGGTGCAGCTGTATTCCCTCTCCAGATTCCTGATGCTGCCACTCATAAATCGGCTCAACATCTTCCCAGTCTCCTCCACGGATCGCCGCTGCGCTCCGCTCCGCTCCGCTGTGCGTCCGTCTCCACACACACACACACACACACACACACGGGGAGACCCGGGAGGACCAGAACAATAAAAACTCAACCAAACCACACACGGGGCGTGTGAATGTCACATTGACCGCAATCCCGGCGCCACTGCGCGGCCACTAGCAGCAGCAGCCAGCGCCGAGGTGCGCACCATCCTGCTCCCGTAAGTTTTACGCACAGCCCGGGGCCCGAGTGTTAGCCGTTAGAATCCAAGGATGCCCGCATCCAGATCCTGGTCCTGGTCCTGGTCCTGATCTTTGTCTCTGTCTCGGTCTGGGTCCCGCACCAGCAGCTCAGCAGTGTGGTGGTGTCTGGGCTGCCGTGGAGTGTCTCTCTCTCTCTCTCTCTCTCTCTCTGCCACTGAGCAGGCGGGCGGGTCCATACTAAACTGACGTCAAAGTGAGGCAAAGGCAAACCACCCCCCACATAATAATTATAATAATCCTAAATACAAGTAACTACATGGTCAATATTAATGATGATGACAAAATAGGTATTCATTAAAAAAATTTAATTATCTTGCTTTTTTAAAGAATATATAGTTTAGTATTGGCCCTATTTTCTAATCATCTAATGGCTAACATTATTTTAATGTTTTTTTTTGTAATTTAATATTTTTTCGTCATTCTCATCTTTATTTTTCGAACTTATTTCTAGCCAATTTGATCTTTGGGATTTTTTTGTATTATTACTTAACAACTCGAAGCTTCTTTTTTCATTTCCCCCCGTTAAATTTTTTTTTGGTGTTTTTTTTTTTTGGCCCAACTTTTTTTGCTTTTTTTTTTTTTTTTTTTTTTTGCTCTTTATGTTGAAGTTACTCAACATTATATGTATAATATATACAATCCCATCCTGCGTAGAATATATATATATATTTCTGAGTAATTTACCTGCTGCAAAAGCATTTTTTCCTAGTTAATTCCTTTTTGATCAGATGTGTTTTACTGCCCTCTACCGGTCATTTGTCGCTTCTGCATTTTAAACAACCGCTATTGCGGCAGCTTATAGAACAACAAGCACAACGACATAAATGTACCAACCTTTAAAAGTGTTTGTTAAAATAGGATGTAAGTTTTTACCTTTTGACGTGACTTTATTTCTAGTATTGATTGTTTATTGATTCTTAGACCATAGCTGTACAACGTAATAAAATTACCTGGAATTATGGGACGTAAAGAAACAGATGTTTGCATATGGATAAAATCTAATGTTTAAATGTCGGTTTGTTAACACTCATAGTAATAAAAATGAACAAAACGAGAAATTAAACAAAAAAAAGTAAAACATAAAATCTAATGTTTAAATGTCGGTTTATTAACACTCATAGTAATAAAAAGAAAGTTAAAAAGTAAAAGATTTACCCCTTTTAAACCTGCCGTGACCCGGATTCGAACCGGGGTTGCTGCGGCCACAACGCAGAGTACTAACCACTATACGATCACGGCGAGCTATCGGGGATGAGTGCGTATTCGTGAAAACACTCATTAAAAATAATGTGACGCAATACGGTCCATTAAAAATCTTTTAAATGTTTGAAGAAGTTTTTAGTTATTTGCACTAATAAATGTTTCCGTTGCTTTAAAAAAAACAAACAGTTATCAACTCGTACCGGGTTTTCAATGTGTAGCTGTTCATTATTAGTCTTTTACGAACGACATTTTAGGAAGGAAAATCCAACATGTCCAATAACGTAACGAACTTAAATTTAAGTTGATCGATTACAACGACAAACAATCTGTGGTTAAACGTTTGCAATTGATTGACGTCTGTTATCCAGACAGAGAACCCTCATTGTTTTTGCAACAACAACCTTAGGCCTACGAATTTATATAAATATCGAAGTCATTGTTATTGGTTCTAGAGACATTATTTGTTTGTTTTTTTCATTGTTTACTTCCCCTCGTGTGTTAAATTTAAACACCAAAAAAACAAATGCAAAATTTCACGTGTCACCACTGGACACAACAGCATTTATTTGTAACATAAAAAGTCACGTACAGTTGCGATTAATTATGCATTAGGCAACTTAGCAGAAGTGTTGTTTTGTCAGTGTTAGGATCAGAAATATAAGTTAAAGCAAAGGCAGCTTTAAAATCACTTTCTTTCTTTCTTTTATTAATGTATTCCTCATTCATTCAGTCACCCATTCATCCATTATCATAAACTGCAGACAGGTGAGCACGGCTGTTCCAAAAGAAACATTATTATTTCAATCAAAGACTCCTCAGCACAGCTGATTATGTTGGTCCACAACAATTTTTTAAAGAACGCCTTTAAATTTCACGTCGATTATTTACAGCAGTAGAACCAGGACAGTGTTTTCCTCATAGTTGGTCCTCATCGTTCTCCTCGGGTTCATTTTTGCCCCTCCTAACTGGAGGCAAGGCGGCACACTCGGCTTTCCTGGTGAACGGGCGACAGTGCCCAGCCACAGTCTGTTTGCTGCTCGGAACGTGGCCCGTACTTTGAGCAGAAGCACCATTGTGTCTTTCATCGGCAGCAGCTTTTCTTTGGTAAAACCTACAGGAGGCCACCAGGGGTTTACCAGTGTCCACCTCCTGGCTTTCTGTCTGCCTCAGTTTACTGTCTGTGTGAGTATAGTGCAGATCCACCCTGATGACCAGAGAGCTCTGAGAAAAGAAACAAAAAGTATACGTTGTAGAAATATTGAAGATTGATAAGAGTCAGAACCTGGAGAAGAAGAAAAAGATTGAATTTACCTTCAGTCTCTGAAGAGCACAGAGCCTCATGGTGCAGTCTGGACTGTGGGAGTTTGTAAACAACAGGGAGTCCATCTCTTCTGAATGGTCTGACCCAGAGAAGATATCTTCCAATGGCTACAAGATTAAAACAAGAAGGGACATTATAATTATTATCAATATCATTCAATACCACATCTGCTAATTATCCAGCTAAAAAAAATGAATAAATTAGAGTGAACTATTAATCTAACTGCATGTGACTGGACTGATTTAAATAATTCATTTTTATTGGCCAAAAACTTTCAGCTTTTTCACCCCATAAATTCTGGCAGAATGAGGTGGAAATAAACGCTGTCAAGATTCATCCGCTAGATGTCAGCACATCCGTGTATACTGCGGTCTTCTCCTGCACTTCTTCCTGTTTGAGTTTACCTGCCCATATATAGGCAGTACTTCCTCAGTCACCACAAACGTGGGTGAACGGTCAACGTCGAGAAATTTCTGCGGTCTAATGGAACAACACTCACGGAGTGACACCGACTGTGGTGTGAAACTAATGTGTGAGTGTTTGCTGCAGTTTGTATGAATGATGTGTGACTCATACGAAGGTGGAATCTCTTTTCACATTTCTTTTGGTGGAGTCTTCAGGAAACAATGTCAGTGTACTTTAGATGTTAGTTGTCTATGTTAACAGAACCAGCTCTAATCGTAATACTTATGTGGCACATGGGCACAATGCTATTCATGCTATATGCTTAATGCTACACAAATTAGCATTAGGGCCAAACTATTGAAAAATAGCTAAACTTTAGTAAGACAGGTGTCTGAATGTTGACTCTGAAATTGATTAAAGTTGGCAAATAAAACAGCAAAAACCTCACAGGTATAGTTTGAATGTTAGATAAACAATAAAGTCCAGAATTAGTCAAATGTAAAATGTCAAAATAACCTAAAGTGAGGTTGACAAAATTAGCAACAAACATTGTAAAGCTAGATAAAAATGACCAAAGAAGTAGCTGATAAAGCTAGATAAAAATGACCAAAGAAGGTCATATCATAATAATCCCAAGGTCCACTGAAAATAGGTCAAATGCAGAAAGAAGAAATGGCTAGATTTTAACCCAAAAAGATACATACAGTTAGCCCTTTTCATACCTACAGGTGAATTTTAATTATCAATGAACATGGATCTGAAACTGTCTGAGGTAGCCAGGAAGTGGCTACACATTAACCCACACATGTAAGAGATTGAAAATAAATGAAAAAATAAATATTTACAGGTGTGCTGCTCAGAGCCACGGTGCAGTCCTGGGCCTGGGGGCTGATGGTCTTCACAGTGGCAAAAATAACCAAGACGTTGGAGAACAAAGCCGAGAAACTGACTTCAACTTCTACGCCACAGGGAAACCTCAGGCACTGCTTCTCTGGAAGTTCTAAAAGAAGATGTGAAGAAGTTAAATGGAGGTAAATAAAATGAATCACTGCCAGGTTATTTTAAATCACATTTCATACCCAGGGGTTACCTCGTTTTTCCAAGGTAAAATCCGTGGGCGTTATGAGAAATGAAAATCACAAAGTTATAAATAAAACACACACAAATTACTCTGTTCCTGTTTTGTTTTATCCAAAACAGCCGTCCCCTTTCTGTGAATGAGGCTAAAAATGTGACATCAAACCACAGCGACTGTAGTAGGTTTGTCAGATGATGAGAGGTGAGGATGATTTTTACTCACTTCTCCACCTCAGTCAAGTGAAAGTTAGCAGTTGAATTGCACCTGCGTTTTAACGCCTGTGAAAAAACACTGTAGGGATTTTTTTTTTTTTGCTCTCTCTTACTGTTTGCTTGTCTCCAGCAGGCGTCTCGCAGGCGTAGCTCCTGTGTGTGGCCCGTGGTCCGGATGGGATCCGTGAGGGAGCGAGGTTCCTTCAGGGTATGTTTGATTTCCACCGCCTGTCTGCCTGTCACTAAACAGTCTGTGCCCAAGTCTGTGGTGGAGAGAGAGAGAAAAAAAAAAGTTTGGTTTATAAAAATAAAAATAACTAACTTAAAGTTAGCAGCAGGTTTTCTCTGAGAGAAAATAAAGTTTGACTAAAAAAAAAATTAATGTTAGCTGAAAAACCTAAAAAAAAAAAAAAAAAAAAAAAGTTCCTTCCTACCAGTGAAACTAACACTTGGTCAGAAATATAGCAAACACTGGAAACAATTGAAAGTTGAATCACAGAAATGACTAAATGTTAGACCATCAGAACCACACCCCGTACACCAGCACAGGGACAAAAATACATTTTTTAAGAAATGTATTTAATTTAATTTCCGGGCAGTGCCGGAGTTTAGCAACAGCAGTTCATACGGAAACAGTTTTAAAGGAACTGTGAGTAAAACAAAAGGATTTGGAAAATACCTCTGCACAGACCACATATATGTAAATAAAATCATAGACTGATGCTTTTATATTAAAACACCTTTCTGGCAAAAAATAGTTACCTTTTGCATTTCATCATTTGCTGTATATCTGTAATGAATCTGTAATTTTCTACAATTATTTTGGTGTTTTTAGATTTCAAGTTCTGTGTCGTCAGACATTTGGCAAAGCAGACAAACAAGAGGAAAGAAATTGGCTGCCAATAAATTTAAATATCTATTCATCATTTACATAAATAAACAAAGCCACTAAATAGTAATGAACTTGTTGAGTTGATGTTCTACATCCGTGCACAGAGGCAGACACGTGCAGCAGCAGAGTTCATTGTTGAGTTGATGTTCTACATCCGTGCTCAAAGGCAGACACGTGCAGCAGCAGCAGAGTTCTGATGTGTGAACCATGAAATCATGACAGAGGGAATCGGGAGGGGGATTTTGTGGTGGTAGTCGGGGGGTGGTGAGGGGGCTAGTGTCTCTTAACGGCAGAGCAGCTGCTGTCTGCTGCAGCTCTCAGGTTTCCTGCTGTTCTCTGGCCAACCGTGTGAATTTCTGGAGGATGAGGTCACATACCGGCCGTGCCTCTGGAGCAGATTTCACCACAGACTCGTTAAACAGACGGCAACAAAGTGATAACTCCTCTTAGACAGAACGGGATTTAGAAAATACCGAGCGACACAAAAATAAGCAGCCAGGAGTTTAAATAGACAAGGCGACGGCTAAAAATTTTTTATAGGAAAGCACCGACATTTAGACCAAATGAATCAATTCAATAAGAATAAATTAGATGAACGCTCACCTTCAGAGACTCTCTCCAAGACGTGTGTGACTTTGTCAGAGCGGAGGATGTGTTTGTTCAAGTATTTGGTGAAGATTCCGGTGCTTTTCCCTCCGTCCTGGACCTCAAAGGCCTCGGCGTCTTCACATCTGCGTCAGTCAGTGGAGAAATAAAAAGATGAAATCTTATTTCAGGGCACGGGACGTCGTCACTCGTGCTGATCATAAAAGTCCTAAATGTGGATACCAGAATTAAGATTCTTACGTGGCGTAACCGTAGACGGTATTCCCAGATGGTTTCAGGGGCATGATGATGGAAGGAATGTGGTGCTGTTTGTACCTGGAGAAAGAACAAGGAATTTTTTATTGAATTGAATTTAACTGTGAAAAAGTTGTTACTCTGAACCACAGACCATAGAGAAAATCCAGGATTTTAGCTCAACACAACACAGTAACTAGCGGTTTACTAACTGCTTCTTCTTTCTGGTGAACTTTTGACATGTTGGTAAATCCAAACAAGAAATTTCAGGCGGTGAAATCACACAATGACAGATTAAAGCTTTCCAACGAAGGCAGCGGTGGATCAACAATTCCTGTTTGCTGTGGTGTCAAATTGTTGGTTTGGTCTATGGACTTTGGTATTGAAGTTTTTTAAAATGATTTTCAAACTCACCATTTTCTACAGGCGTCCAGGAGGATGACACTCAGTGCCGTCTGTCTCTGCTGCATGCTGATCATGATCCTCTGTACACACACACAGTTTTCAGGACGGTACGGCTGAGGAGCGTCAACCGCCACGAGGTAATTCCTGCCAGCGCATTCATAACCATGACCAGCATAGTAGAAAAGGCCTACGGAGAAGAGATGTCATTGTTATTCTGGATTAGGTTCTAGATAGACTGTGAAATATCTTGCTTGTGAAATATGTTTGACTGGTAATTGGTAATAATGAAATCCATACAGTGCGGAATATCTTGCCATGTTTGACTGGTAATTAGTAAATTAGAAAAATCACAATAATTCAGTGTATTGTCATGAATATCACAAAAAAAAAACGCAATTCAGTTTATTCAGTGTAGATTTTTTTGCAGTAATTATAAACAGACACAGATGATTTATTTTGGCAACGATAACTAACCTTAAGTTACTTCGTGGCTGACTGTAGTTTTCTGACTTACATAATCTGACATCTTTTCAGTTTATTTAAGTATTAAGTGATCAGATTAAGAAAACCATTTGTCACCACAGCGTCACAAGACCCTTGTGAAGTGTTTTAAATACATACGGCTGCATCGGTGCATTAAAGAGTTTCAGCCAAATGCAGACAGGAAGCGCTAAATATAACGTGCACAGACGCCCACTCATCCGCAGCATCCTTATCTGCCCACTCTCTGCCCGAAAGGCTTATCTGTGAGCAGTGACGAGTGGAGCGATAACACGGCAGGTATTTCCGTAGTTTGAAGGCAACCTCTTCTCACCGTAGACTCCTCTGTTCAGCAGCTGAATGAACCTCTCGATGGCCGCCAGCATCTCGTCTCTGGTGAGGTCCAGCAGGGAGACCACTCTGAAGCCCAGCTGCCGCCGCAGGTTAGCCAAATTG